TGAGTGTCTTGTTCAGTTGCCTCATTGAGTTCAACGCCGCAACAAAGAATTTCCGCGTGTTTCTCGCGCCTCGCGTTGTTGTTGCAACGGTAATGAGTCGCAATTTGCTTAATTTCCCATTTTAGGACGCGACACTGAAGACGCAAAACTCAGCATAAAATCATAAATGATTTGACCCAAATTTCTTTATATATTTCTTATCTCTCAATCGCGACAGAAACACGCGGCGACGCGACGCGGGGCGCACCAACACCTGCACGCACATAAGCTAGCGTTAGATACTAGGCGATAACCAACAATTGCGAAAGTGACGCGACGTAAAGAAATGCGAAGGAGATTGAAAAGTGTGTCATAAAAACCGCTAGTAAACAAGGAAAAGTGAAAAAGAAAAAGTAAACAAATTAAGCAAATGCAATTGTGTGGGTGTCGCTGTTCGAAGGTGGCGCCGGAAGTGTAGTAAGAAAAATAAATGTGCGCCAGAAATATCAATGCACTTGTGGTAGGTGTAGACGAAATCGAAATCTATATTTAGCGACAGCAAGTCGGTCAATTCTGCTTGTCAAATCCGCAAACGAAATCCGTCGTTGCTCTGTGTAAATATGTGTGCCATTGACCAGTGTGTGATGGTGTTGGAGTGCCCAAAAGTAGGCTAAATACTTAACAGGCAAACAAAAACAGAAAACAGGAAATCAATGCCAAATTTATTTCAATAATAATTTCATAGAGAAATTAAGTGCTTAAGCAATTGTTGCAGCGGACAAGGCGAGTGAAAAAAGTTGCTTACTAAAAGCTTACATTAAACGTGATAAGATTATCGACGGAATAGTGCTTTGTGGAGATATGCAATTTAGATATTAACATATTTATGTTTTAAACACAATTAATTAATCGGAATAGGAACTCATTTTATTCACAATCTTTTTACGTAGCTTTGGAATTTATCAAACCAAATCGCTTGTAATTGAAGAAACTAAATAAATTAAGAAATTAGTAAATAATAATGTAATTGAGTTGATGAAATTTATTTATTGTTTTATATTAAATGTCGGGTAGATCGATCTTTACCAAAAATCTAAAGAAAACTCAAAGAGTTCATTAACTCGAAAACCAAACTTGACATTATTCCATAAAGAGATTAAGGACCAAAAGAACAAACTGGAATTGGAACATTTTTATAAATAGTTAGCGTTAAAGCGTTGTTGAAAGAAATTTTCTCTCTCTACAAGGCGGAGATAGACTCGTAGGCAAAAATTATAGGTAAGAGTATTTCGAAAACGAACTCATACAATTTGTTATTTGAATAGCAGTTCAGTTGTAACGGCTGAGTTCAATTACTTTAATCGGTACATCGTCAGGATAGCCAAGGGGTTAGAGTTTAACGAAACACCGCAGGCAAATTAATTTTTTTTTTGTTTTTGGTGTTGTAAAATTTTAATACACACTATAGAACTAGTATTTCTATAGTATGAAGCTGATTCATAGTTGGACAATTGACAGTTCGTCGTCAATGAATCGAAGATGAACTAGTTTGTGTACAAATGCAAAGCATTTGGATTTTAGTTATATATAATTGCCGCTTTGTAACCGCTGAAGCGATTTTTCGGCCGAGCTACTCCTCCAAATTGTTAACAACTAGTATTTTTTCCTGCAGGGCAAGCATAAAATTCAGCTCTTTGAATATTAGCGAGTTGAGATAAACCCTTTTTTACTTCTTCCCCAAATAAACTCAGTCCTAAATCGATGCTTCTGCACCTCGTAAAATAGTAAATGGACATTCTCTGATGTGTAGCCAAGAGTCATTACCAATAGCTTGTTTATAAGCATTTCAAAGAAATATCGTGTAGTAAGGCGTGGCAGTCGAGTGGCTGACATTGCGTACTGCCATAATTTAATTCAAAAATTAAGTTAAATTTTCTAATTGTGGTCACTCCTTGGCAGGGAATGTCTATCCCTCCGAGTGTATTTCCGACATGAAATATAGGCTCCTCGTAAAAAAAGACCATCAGCAGCTCGGTGGCGGCTGAGCAAAAACTGTAGGTCTCTCCATTTGCAGAAAAAACATCTTGAGGCAAAACCAGAAATTGGAAGAGTAGTTCGGCCGAAAATCGCTTCAGCGATTACTAAGCGCCAATTATATACTCGTGTGAGGTGTGCTTCTTGTATTGTAATATTGTGGTAGGGAAGAAACTCTATTTAAGGGTATTTTGGGGTGCTTCAAAAAAGGCAATTTCTTCTTCTTTATTGCTGTATACCACACCGTTTACGAGATTATTGCCGAGTTTACACGTTGGTTATCTAAAAGCTTTGCGTAAATACCAAATTCCGGCTTAGCGAAGGCTGCTTTAAAATCGAGGACCCTCTCATCACGGGTTTTCCAATGGATTTCCCAGATCTAAAGCCACACTGATAAGGTCTAATCAGTTTGTTGATGGTGAGCTTTAGTCTTCTTATTCTTATTCAGTAGAACCTTATTTGACAATTAAATTATTTTACGTTTCATTGCTACTGTCTTGTCGTCTGCTGCCCTTGCGAACTTGGCGTTGTGGTCGCTAGACGCAATGGCCTCGTGATGTTGTTTTCGATCATAAGTGCAGCTCACTCAAAGAAAGTCCATTGGTCACGTCGTGCCAATTTTTTTGCCGCGGAACGCTTCCAAGATTTTGATGTGGATAGTGGTAAAGCACTCTCCTTTCAAGGTGAATGTAAAACCCTACCGTCTTCGGTACTATCAAGCAGCTATGCGGCTATTACATTCGGCGTTTTCAGTGAAATTATTGGTGAAATTAATGTCGTTAACAATATTTGCACAAATATTACAGATTGAGCCGAATTCATTTGAGAGGCTACACTAAAGCTTCTCTCTTGATGCCGAAACCAAGGCTTAATGCTTCTTGCACATGGTTTATTGTCATGGCCCAAGGTGCTGGCAAATGGAAATATGCATTACTCATTTCATACAGTGAATAATTTTTGCATAAAACAAGCGAGCTTTCACACATACACCCGCGCACATACATACCGCGCACATACATATATATGAGTATATACTTAAATCAAATACTTGGCTAAATACTCGAGTGTGTAACTTAATTACTTACTTGTTGTTTGATAATTTAACATATCGTGAGGGCATCTTCATGGCGTGTTGTGAAGTCTGCTAAAACTTGCTGCTCTCTTTCACACAGCATAGCAAGTGATAGCTGCGAAAATTCCAGCGCATCCAGCAACGGTATTGCAAAACATAAAAAAATGTAAGAGTTAATAATTATTGCAGCTCGCGGTAAATATTTATGAAGCGAGGCGTGAAAAGCTGAAGATTTGCCCCACCAAATATATACACACACAGGAACCCATACATCCACATATTGTAAACGACTATTCACTGTGGCACGTGCAACATGCGATGCTCGCGAGACTCATAATTTGCCTCCAGAAGAGCTGGCCTCATAGCTGCCCACGACAGACAGCTGCAACATTCGGTTTCCGCGCGTTGATGTTGTAGGTTGTCGCTTCGATTACGGAAGGTGCTACAAGTTATTAATTTGGCGGAGCTCACATTCAGAACTACCGAGCTAAATGAAAACTTAGTTTCGGGCGTTTTAGCGAAACAAACTCAAGTTCTTGGAGAAATCACTTCGGGAGTTCTTAAATAGCCGTGAGTTAGCTCAGTGGTTCTGAATGCATCGACCTCATGTAGTCTAAGTCAATATTTTGAAACAGCTTCCTGAGTGAACGCTGGAAAAGCATTGTCATCAAAGTAGAAATAACGATACCGTGAGGCGGGCAGTTGGATTCGACCGCAGCTCGTGCTGTCTTTGTCATGCTAAATAAAGTGCTTAATGATATTGTTTTCAATATATCCGATGCGAAAGCGGCGGTAACGCTTAAAGAAGCTGCCAGCCATGGATATGTCTAGGTCTCTGAATCAAGTATAACAAAGCTTGATATTCATCGCAGTACCGAGTATTTCATCGATCAGTCTTACTATACACCCGGGCATAGTGAAGTCAGTGTGAAAGGTTGACAAGTTTGTGAGAATAAATAAGTATAGAAATTTCAATATAATCTAACTTAGCGCTTATGTGGGCGCAATTTGTAGTTGGAATAAAGCATTTGTAAGAGATGGCAACGTAGAAACCAAACAGCATATTCTGCTATCCTGTTTTGAGTCGTAGAACAATAGCTCCAAAATCCGTTGGAGCCCTCATGAAGTTCGGACGAAAAGGTTTGCCATCTCGCCTACACCTGATGGACGCTAAGCATTTTTTCAAGAAGTGGGCCTTAATCGGTCATTCTCGAACTTCAACTAGATTCACCTTCTCCAACCAAGACTCTACCAATCAAATGTGCATTTCAGTTTCTATATTCGTTTTTTTCTTTTTTCTTACAGATGAATAAGTGAAGTGAAAGCGCAACGATATATCTAAATATAATAGAAGTATACAAAGTGTTGGGTACGAACATATAAAAATATCGGTGTAGAGTACACCAACGTTGAGTCCAAAGTCAAATCCGTCCAGTGTTTTGCGAAAGAAGAAAGGACGATTGAAAGGAGAAACGAAATCAACTAACAACGAACATAGATATAAAAAGTTTGACGTCATCCAATCGAACATCATGCATGTATGATGGTAACCAAATCGACGCAGGCAAATCCAAGTATTTCGAGCATCGAACAATACGTATGCCTTTGCGCCAACAAACTCCCTCCCATGAAATCAAATTGATGTGGGCTCGGCTTGCGGCGACGCATCCAAAAAGCGACCGAGCGAGGACACAAGTATTCAGCGCGAAGGCTATGCCTACAGGTATTGCATACAGCATTTCTATCACTATTTCTTTTAAGATAACCAATTAACTCATCGCAGATTAACAGCGCCATCTCGACTAGGCAAGCCGCTAACAACCGAAATCAGATCTTATACCACAACGATTTGTAGATCTTGAACCAAAATACATTGCTTCCACTACATCCCAACTCAAACACATTCGATGTTAACATGAACCATAAATCCTCTTCATCATCCGCATCTGCCACACCACCACCGCTACCGCCACCAATATTTCAAACAACATTTTCGCCCAGATCCGCATCGGGTTTTACCACGCACACAAACAGCACCGCCACGCGCACACCAGCCATCATACCGCTTGATTACAATTATCAGACCATGTCACCGTCCTCATTCTCACAGTTTCCTAGTGGCCGCTTGACATCAGCGGCTACCACAAATACAAGTGCTGCTTATCATTTAAATACACATTCACTCATTAACAGTGCTCGTCCCCAAACCGGCAGCGCCTCAGTCGATGTTGAGCTGGATAATCAGTACAGCAGTCTTTTTGGCGATCCCGTACCACCACCACCACCTCCAGATTTCCTTACGACACAATTTAATCCGGTGAACATATTCCACCCAGTTTCATTGGACATTAGTTCTGGCTCAGAGGAAGACGCTAACGTTAGTCTTACAGCATTGGGAGCTGAAAGGTCCATACAGACGCGTCTCTTTTCAAATGTACCTTTTAGCTCGGTGTTTAGTAGGCGCGCATCGGATACCACAACGACCCAGCGAAATTTTGATGTGCTTCCCATGCCGATGCCGCGCCTCCAGCCACCAGATATTCAAATATTGCCGAACTCTAGTGGCGACTCGAGCTCAGAGGCACGTGAGTCTCCGAATTATACTCTGCTTGCACCGGAGATGGCAGAGCGCCAAGGCATAATGTATGAGAATAGCGAACCCTCAGATATGACGGAAATTGTAGAATCATATGAAGTTAGAGATATGACGGGTGTGCGCGAATACTCGGAGGCTAAGAGACGCGTTTCGAATTTCAGTGAGGACTTCAAGTCCAATGTTGGCGCTTTCAGGTAGGCAAACGTCTGAATTATCAGTACACGCATATATAAAGTATTATATATTTTTAGTAATACCCAGGTGGCTCCGCAGACATTGGATTCTCCTTCAGCCACCGCTCATCAGTTTTCGCATCCATTTTCTAATGAGCCGTATACAAGCAACGATTGGTTTCGGCCGGCAACACAAGACTACCCTGAATTTAGTAAAATACCAAGACTGCGTCCAAGTTCTAAGAACATTATGTCGATTAAACGAGAAGACATGCCAATGCACCATTCCCCGGTAGCAGCCATGATTAATGACTCAAACGGCTCTAGTAGTGGCGACGACCGGCAGACGAATGAAACGCAAAGTATTGACCAAGGAACTGTGCTGCCAGATGTATTGCAACCACCGGCTAGGCCACCCGACCCGTCGCCAATGCTTTTGCGTGAAATAGAAACTGATCTAATGCTTTCTCCTCGGGAGTATTTGCAACAAGAAAACGATAGGTCCATGGACAGTTTGAAGGTGGAAAATTTTACTACACCACCACCTCCAGCCGCTCCACCGCCTCCGGATTTTCTCACACCCGTAACAGAAGAAAGCCAAAGCCCCGTCAAACGCGAACTTTCACCTGTGATACTGAGGGACTTAATAGCGACCGGTGGAGAATTCAGGTGAATATAAATATTCCACATTGTTTTTGAAAATCATGAATTATTTTATATTTTATTTTCTTTAGAGTTGATCAACCGCGTCTTCATAAAAAGTCCTCATTTACAATTATCTCCGAAAAATCACCCCAGTCGTCACGCGCGCACAGTCCATCGTCATATAGTCAAAAGCGCTCACCATCAAAGATTTCTGGTCCAAATCCAGTCGCTAAACCTCGTCATTACTTGAAACAAAAATCTCTCTCAGCCACCCAACTCAAGTTGCCACAAATACCACAACATAGACTACAAGCTCACGCCGACGACTCACCACGCCCTTCAGTCCAATTTAACATGACCGGGCGGCACACCCCAAACATGATGACTCCACGCGGCATTTTGCAACATCGTGAGTCCATGTCGTCCTCTCAGGATGTGACTCCGTTGTCACCTTCGTCGACGCGAATAGCAGCAACAAAATTACGCCGCCCATCAACACTGCCTTCTTTTCCAAAACAAGTCGATGAAACCAAGATGAAAAGTTGTGAGGCACTGCCTTTTATAACAGATCCATACAGAACTGTTATACCGCGCTTCAATCGCTCCGTAACCGATTTACAGAGGGAGCCCGCAGTGTTTCCACCAGGTGCTTTGCCGCGGCCATTAAAGCCTAACCCAAACCCAACTCGAAAGCAAAAGGGTCTACTTCGCATTCTCAATGGTGACAACTCGCATATACCCTTACGCTCGAATTGGGCAAGTATGGACGATCTTTACTTAGGAAGAAACCTAAAGAAACCGCCTCCATTATCTTCCGGCATTTTTCTGAGTCGTCGTCGCTCTAGCTCTACATCGCCTGAACGGCGCAGCTCAACTCAAACAGCTTCCGACCGACGTAGTTCTAATATCAGCTCAGTAACTACTTCTGATTTTAGTTTTCGTCGCGCTTCGACGACATCTCAAATGCAACGTCGGAAATCTCTATTCCCATCTTCCAACCCACAAACAAAACGTCGGCAATCTTCAATACCACCAGCAAGTTCAAGTGGTGGGCGCATATCTCGTGCAAAGGTAGTTAAGCCAACTACTCTTTCACCGATTATTGGTACGCCAAACAAAGATAACAGTTCACCACAAAGCCCTGAGAAGGATGTTTCTAGTTTATTGGCACCTTCGGAAACGCCATCTGATATAAATGCACGTAGAGAATCTCTTTCAAAGATACCAATTCGGGCTTCTAACTCTCGTCCAGGTTCGCGGTCGTCATCTCCACTTAAAGAGTTCGTAGCACAACTGCCAATATCTGATCCGACCTCACGAGCTACATCTAGCCGTACTACTTCCCGTGCGACGATGAGAACAGATGCGTCATTGACGGCTTCCCGTGTAAATTCTAGACTTGGTTCACGGTCCACATCTCGTGCATCCACGCATCCTATATCCCGTGCTGCATCACGCGCTAGTTCACGACCGAATTCACGAATGGATATGGCAAAACAAATCGCAAATTCAAGGTCCAACTCTAGATTGAGTATATTATCGGCAACCTCAAACGCAGACAATGTTTCGCCGGTTTCAGGGAAAATAAGTACGGAACCTTTGCCTATTTTAGCAAGACATCGCCGTAAATCAATCTCTGTCAGCCCAGCTACGAATAGAAGAGTGCATGGTCGCCGGCAATCTCTTAGTCCTCCTAACAAAAAACGTTCCGGCAGTCGAGGCAGAGGAAAGAAAACAAGAGAGCGATCGGAGTCACGCCGTAGCTCACAATCACATATTCCTTTAAGATCGGGAAGTTTAACTAAAGTGATGAGATCGTCGCCAAAATCCAAGAATTCCAAACGGTCTCGCTCTCGATCGCCAAAATCGAAGGATTCAAAACCTGCGCCACGGCCATTACCGATACGATCACCAACACGAACAACGGAGTTGCAAAGGAAAAAAACAATAAGTGCCAAAAAAGTTCCAACTTCGGTGCATAAGCCCGAATCCAGTGTAAGACGTTCGCCATCATCGGTGAGTAAATCGGCGCCGTCCGTTAAGAAGCAGCCGAATAATTTGCAAAAATCAGGTGGTATGAATATTAGACGAGAAATTTCCAACCTACAAAAGAAAGGGAAGGAAGGAGCAAAATCTGCAACAGGAAAACCCGTACGACGTGAAGGTACTACGCCAACAATGACTAGCAAGAGGACAAGCGGAGGCGCTGCCACAGCTGCAGTGGCTCTGGCAGCAAGCGGATTAAAGCGTCAAGCAACTTCCAAGAATTTAGGAAAGACTACGACCAAGAGCAGAATGTCTGCAGTAAAGGAGAATACGGGGGAGAGAAAAACTCAAGGGGCAACACAGGCGGTTACAGGAGGTGAAAGCACCGACGAAAATGCGGATAGTACCAGCCGACAAGCAACTGGTATCCCCACCGGAACAGAGGCCACGAAAATGACCGCTGCCAATACCGCAACTGTAAAAGGGACAACAACTATGAGTTCGGGTAGCACGGGAAGTTCAGTTGGCTCAACGACTACTATAAAGAGGAATCCCTCCAACATGTCGTTGGTACGCATGGCTTCTAGAATGAGCTTACTCAGCATGAAGCGATCAGACAGCAATCTCAGCAGGAAGACGGCTGTACCAGCGGTCGCAGAAGAGGCGACTGATGACTCAAAGAAGAACGGTTAGTGATAAACGTATCCTTATCCCGAAATTTATACTAGTTTATTAACTTTTCAATATATTTTTCAGGAATTTCAGGCGGAGCAACCTTACAGAAGAACAGCAGTCGCGCGCAGTTAAAGACACCCGAAGATGTGGCGGCTGCGGCAATATTGGAGAAATCTCAAAAGACGCTGGAGAATGTACAAAAGAGTGTAACTGTGGCGACAGATGAAATTCATAAAACCATCATAGAAAATCTCACCGACTTGAAGAGCCTCGAAAACGACATGGCTCGTTTCTCGGACAGCGCCACCTCGCCTACGTCCAGTGTCGCCACAGTGGTGGAGAATAAAGTTGGCAGCAAGGCTGGAACTACTGTAGGTATGCTAGCGGCAGGGGAATCCGGCTCACGTACAGCAACCGCAGAGGGTCCAACATCGACAGCGAGCACAATAAAACCAACTCACAAAAATGGTAACGATGCCTCTCAGGCTCCTTTAGCATCTAACCAAAAGTCGCCTCTACCGCCAACACAACCTATCGAGGCAGATGTTTCAGTGTTGAACTCGCATCATGCGACTGTTGCTGCAGCAACTGCTGTCGCGGCAACTACCGGAGCAACGGCTATGCCGCACGCGGGTGTTGTGGATGCCACCGTCGAACGGGTTAGTGAACGTGCTATATCAGTTATGCCAGAAGTTGACTGTGACGATGCAAATTTCCAGAATTACACATACGATGGCGATGGCGCAGCAGACAAGACGGCCGATGGTGCGGTGAGTACGTTGATGAGCGGCGAAGTACATACACTGGGAACCGATGCCAGTGGCAGAGGCCGAAAAGATGTGGGCAGAGGTGGTGGTGCCGGTGTGGGTGGTGTCAGTGGAAGTGGCGGTGTGACTGATGATGACATCAAGCGACGCTCGCCAGATGGACAAGGCGGGTCCGCTGCAGGAAGCGGGTAAGTGTACTTAAATAAAATTAAATTTCATGCCAGTCTTTGCAGGATTTATTTAATTCATAGCTGCTACCAGTCTTCCTCTATTTTCCGGCAAGAAGTCAGAATTTTCATTGCGTCAATCAAGATTTTCTTCTAATTATTCTTCTTCTCCGAAATTTTTATTATTTTGCGTCTGTTCAAAAATAATTTTTATACTGCTATGGGCTAATTTAGAACCTTCATAACTAGATTGTGAATAGTTCAGAACCACTTCAATATCAACGGTGATGAATGGCTATTAGTTTAACTCATTTCAAGATTACTTTGCAGGCACTTCAAAGCTGGTTCACAGGAATTTCGAAAGTAGTTTAGGACTATGCCGGAACCATTACACTTTGAAGTCGCTACTTATTTACAACAACATTGGAGAAACTGTTGGGTGCATTACAGAAATGCTTACATTTATACTACTTGCACTTGTTTGTATTTGAATATGTAAACAGTTAGCTCTGGGTTATTGTACTGTACCTTGCTTTCGACCGTAGCGTGACGCCTTGCTTATGCGAACGTTCACACACAATCTCACATATAACCTGCGTTGCGATGCTTTGTTTTATGGCTGACTAACGGTGAAGCTATAATAAATTGCAAAGTCGCATGCACTTCTAATTAAAATGCTACTTAGCAATTTCCATATTTTATTTTAAATTAAAGTTAAAGAGCCGGGTGAGAGAGAGACCAAAGAGATGCTCATTTGGCGGCTGAGCTACTGTGACGGCAAAATTAAAATAATTAAAGAAATAAGAAATGTCTTAATTTTATTTTCATTTAAGAAATATGTGCTAAAAGTACAATAATAAAAAAAATTATAAGAAAATTCAAATAGAATAAAATGAGAAAGTAAAATGAAGTTAAAAATTATATATAATAAAAACAAAGAGAAAAAAAGAAGTAGAATAGATATAATTTGAATAACATAATAAAATCAAAGTGATTCATATTAAACTAAAGTGATATAAAAAAGTCAAACATAAGATAAGTGAAATGACTTACTTATTTACTTTACTGGCGTAGACACTGCTTACTTCTTTTCCTTTTTCCTTTTTCTCGCTGTTTGGCATCAATTGGAGGTACTTAGTAAAGCCAGGTTCCTCTCTACCTGGTGCTTTCAATGGAGTGGAGGTCTACCTCTACTTTCAAAGCTGGAGTATTTTTATCCGTCCGGACCACATGACCTAGACAACGTAGCCACTGTTTCTTGATTCGTTGAACTATGTCACCTTATACATCTCATCATTCCATCGGCTGCTGTATTCGCCATTACCAATTCAATCCTAATCTCGAAAACTCCTAACGCCGACTCATCAGATGTTGTCAACTCCCATGCCTCCGCACCATGAAGCACGACTGGAACGATAAGCGACTCGTAGAGTTTGGTTTTCACTCGTCGAGAGAGGATCTTACTTTTCAACTGCATACTCAAAACGAATTAGCACCTGTCGTTGAAATTACTACAATCTACAGAAAAGTTAAAAGTTGTTATTAAATTCAAGACATGGTGAAATTAATAAAAAAAGTCACTTTTCTCAGAAAAAACTATAAATGAATGGCATACATATATTTGTTCGAAAATAGAACAAATCTCAACACTTTGCTGTCCATCAAAAATCATGAAAAATTTGCATATCCTTTTCCATCGGCGACACCTTGACACCTGCAATATCATCAGCAATAAAACGTTTATCCGTGACCATCAGTGTCTGCCAACATGACACCTTCGGTCAGTGAAAGGTCAGAAATCAAACACCCAAACACACACTCATATCCTCGGCTGAAAAAATCAGGATCAAGCAATTTGCAGAAATTCCAAGTCATTTTAAATTTTCATAAATAATTTATAAGTCGAACGTATAAATGAGTCTTAGGCGCAGGGTGAAGTGTTTTCTAACCTCACATAACACACATCATAAACACAAATCTCAGTGTCTTTATATTGTATTTGCATACATACGCATATATATGTGTGTATTTTTGTAACACATCCGCAATCTTTTTCAGTCCAACACTGCGCTTCCTTATGACGTTTCTCATCCTTTCATTGTAGTAGGCCTAACCATCTGCTTCACCTACCTACTTCTCTGCTTCCCTCGGCGCTGTCATATTCATACACGTGTAAAATATATTTACACATATATTTTTTATAATACTTGACAGGGCGATAAGCGGTTTTTATAGCTTTCACTTATTCTGCCCGTTGTGTATTTTTTTTCTTTCTAATTGTGTTGCAGTGAAGAACTCAACGATTGCAAGCATTTCGCAGAAGAAGAGCCAACGATGGTGCACAAGAAGGTTTAAGTAATAGTAGGGTATGATCTACGACAGTTCTGCGCCAGCAAATAGTAGTTCTTCGATATGAACATTTTTCAAGTAGTTATAGAAAGGGTAAAAACTGTTTTCTTATAGTAGGATGACAAAACAAACGGCAGCAACTCTCATTAGGATATATGTATGTATATGGCTTTGAAACTTCCTGCAAAATGTTCCCAAAGTTACCCATACAAATTTTAGATGCACTTGAAAAGAAGCCGAATCGCCTGGCGAAGACATGCTTAAGTTTACATTCTCTTTATTAGATCTTGCAAATATATGTTTAACAGTCCATGACAGCGTGTATTGCTCTGTGTCTAATTTTATGCACATCACTGTATACCGGGCAGCGGCATTTATCCGGCAACGACGTTTAGCACAGCATTTTTCACCCATCAGTGCAGACAGCCTTAATAAACATTCAGCATGCACACATGGCCACTACGAGGGTGGAGCTTTAGTTTTTCGCTATTGAAAAGAAGTAGAATTTTATTAAAAATATTTAATATAAAAACCCTGAAAATAGGTGGAGGTTAAAGCAAACCGCCGAAAAAACTCTTAAGTTAGTGTTGTGATAGTTTTCAAAAATAAAATCAGTTATTCTAAACAAATTAAGAATTGATTATAATATGGGTACAAAACTAGAAGAAACCTAAGAAGACTGGCAATTGAAATTACTTTTATTTTTATTTCATTTTTGTTTTAATAATTACAATCTGCAGTAGGTTCACCTTTCTCTGGAAATACAAAATTTGCCTGCATATGCATATACATATATATATAATATATTTTACATTTATATGTGCAAATGTGCCTTCAATCATTTTCAATAGTAACCCAAATTAGTGTTGGCCCAAAAGCAAGTCCTTCCCTCTCTTTCTAAGGGTTTATACAGATGTGTGTATGTGTGTATGTATGCATGTGTAGAAAACGCTAACCACCTAACCAGCACTTGCCACACGTGAAGTGTCGCTACACACATATATATACATCTACGCAGTTGTGGTAAGCTAAGTGGTATGGCCACTCATAATGCATCATTATTATATATATGTGTGTGTGTGTACAAGTATGTATGTATACGACCGTACCCATGACAAGACGGTCTTTTGCCAATATTTCTTAACTTGACTAAGGAACCAAAGGACCATAGGCCATAATAACACAAGCGATGGCTTTTCCAAGCAGTAGATCCACTAAAAACTCGGCGGCACCTTCCCCTTCGCAACCAAGCACTGTACCTGCCTCGCTAAGGATATCCGTTCTGCGCCATGCCATTTCGTCCTTCGTGTTTATACAACTTCAAAACAATGGGTTTACAAAAGCAACAAAACCAAATACAACAACAACAATAACTAGAACAACAATTAAGCGGCAAAGTTGATTTGATGATATGTAAATGTTTGTGCTACAAACATGCTTACATACATACATACATATACATGCATGGTAGTTTGAATAAATACGAGCTCCGGCTGGCTTTCACTGCGGAGTTGAAGCGAAAATTCAGCGAGCGAGTGTACAACGGCGCAGAGTTGTTAACGCTCTGTCGAAATACTCGTAGTGGGGATAAGGGCATGCGAATTAAGTCGAATTGATTTGGAAATTTCTCATGGCGCTCCACTGGCATGACCGGTCGCAGTCAGAAATCAGTTTTGGCTGGACAATCGTGGCGGACGCGACACACTACACCGACCATACGACAGAGCACCAATCGAAAGCACGCAAACACTCATTCCTTTGCAGTAAACAAGCCATTGGGCAAGTGACCAAGTGATCACGCGTCCAGACACCACTTACAAATTGCGCTTTAATTTTTGGAATTCAATTCATCAATGCTGTTTGCGCTGTGCAGGCGCGCAGAAAATTCGCTCAAAAATTTTTGGGGAATTTTGGAAAAGTAAAAAACTAAAATTTTTGTACTCACGCAACAACCCAAACTTCAGTAACCAACCGTCGCGAACATAAAGCTGAAGTAATTAACTTAATCGCGGGTCAAAGAAGTGATTGTGTGGATAAATATTCTCGTGTTTACGTGTTTATCGAAATTCGTGTTTTGACTTTTGGAAAATCCAAGGCATAAATAAATTAAAGAATTCGAAAAAAAACTCAATCAGCTAAAGAAGAATGATTCAGAAGAAGGGCAAGCGCAAGAATTCAGCGATTTACCATATTGATTTGCCTCAGGACTTTGCCGATGTTGAGAAATACTTTTCCAGGTATTTATTTAATCAGTGAACATTTTCAGTGAACTGTAGGAGAGTATTTTAATTGTTTTTAGGAATTTGGATGGATTGTTTTTTTTTTTTTTAATTTTGCCCACCGGTACGCACTCTATACCCTACTATGTAGGGTACGTACACAACAGCAGTTGCAACCCTCTAAGCTTTATTCTACGTTATCTAGCTTAGATTACACAGGTCCCTAGATTCCTAACATTGCGAAGAGCATAAGGCTACTCTCTAGCCATTTAAGCTCCGAAATTCAAATAATTTCGCTGGAAAAATATTTCGAGGCAATTAAATGGAAGTTGAAGTTTTATTGAAAATGTTTGAGCGAAAGTTCAGAATAAGCCGCGCTCACCTTCCGTTTGACTGTAACTGCAAAAAAAGGCAAATGCCAGACTCCTTGGCCTAATCAGTTCGCAGTGCATTGTCTCGTCCTTTCTTCAACTACCCACAACGTGATCTATCTGGCCTATCTACACACACAAACACACATTCGCAAGCGGTTTCCCGCATTTAAATATTTATGTGTCAGTAACACACAATTAACGTGTCACACTCAAAATTAAGTGGCCATTCACCAGCCATGACTGACTTTTCATTAAATGCCGACGCGGCGGCAGCAGCACCATACTTAAGAGTGCCTCAACAATGACATGCGTGCTTGTGTATGTGCGTGTGCATGTGCCTGAAAGTCGCATTTCGGCGTGGCGCTTGGTGACCTTGCCAATATTGTTCACAACTCCACCATGTGCCAGCAAAAGTTTCGCACGTTCGCATGTCAACTCGTCGCTAGACTTGGCTTGACTTGGTTGATGATGGACGGCACACGGCGGCGCAACAGTCGAAATATATTCAGTTTTTCGGCTTTCTTTTGGTTAACTCAGTTTTGAACTCAGCCAAAACGTGTTCAGACGTTGGCTCGGGCAGTGGTCGCAGATGTATTTCAGTGCTTGACATTTGGCTTTTTTATTGGTGGAAAATGCGTATAGAAGTTTAAAGCATAAAGAGTAAAGAAATTAGCGTTTTTTTTGTACAAAAAGTAAATTCTTTTTGAATTTGGCTTGCTCGCCAACTGACTCGACTCGGTGCCGTGAAACGTTCGACCGCGTTCCTTCCGCGGTCTTCAACTGGTGGCCGAAAAGTGCGTGCATTTGTTGCAAATCTATTGGAGTTTGTATAAAAGTTTTTGCATTCTTTTCTATTTATTATGAAAATAGTCATGACTTTTGTATAGAAACAGTTATTTCGCTATATACATATATTCTATATAGAAATGTTTTAGAAAATAATGTGAGCATGTAAAATACTTGTAAAAGTCACTCATACGCCATGTTGTCCAAGTATCATTAGGATAAACTCAATTAATTTGATATATTTAACAACAACAAGCCTTTTTGGCTTCTGTTCCAATTTATTCAGGAATCTACTTCATCTTCTTAATAAGTCTCAGGTTGAGGCTTGAAAACTAGAAATTCTCAGAGGTTAGACATATAACATAGAAGAGCTCACGTCATGCTGTTATTTTCAATAAAGAAAACCCAGGAAAGATTTCTCTTCCCCCCAAAAGCGAAAATTCACTCATACGTAGTGGAAGACTACAAGAAATCTTTAAAAAAATACTATTGAGCTCATCGCAGAAAATTCAATCAAAAAGCCATTAGTACGCCCAGGTGCTCACACATACACACGTCACACAATTCAATTTAGGCAAAAAGGCCGGAATCTACACGCCCAGTAAGACTGTGAGAAAGTAAAAAATATAAAAAAGAAGAAAACGAGTAATGAAGGAGTGGCAATTTGGGCCTACAACTATTGGAGGCATTTCACGGCACATGAAGGCTGTAGAAAACTTATAAGAAAGTGATGAAAAATTAAAGTTAACTTAAATAATCCAAGAGAACATTTAAAAAAGTAACAAAAGAATAAATCTAAATTAAGGGAAATCAAAAATTTTATAGATATACATATTAAGCTGATAAGAGAAAACGACAGCTGAAAAATAATTGAAAAATGTTATTGAATTGTGAATTCCCTCAAACGTTCTCTGATGTCATACACAACGTATTGTGTCAGATAGAAAAGTGGGATAATTATGATAGCACTCGAGAAGTAATCAACTCCACCATATGCAGACTCAGACCATTTGTCAACCGTTTAAGCCAATTGGTACTTCAAGTGAAGAGTATATATATTTCCTCTGGGCAGGCAGCAATAGGGACCCTCGAATCTATCAGTAACGGTAATAAAATTTAACAAAACACTAGCATAATTAATATGCTAGATGGTGGACGAGCTTGAAGGCCACTTCCCTTCTATATTCAGCTCTCCACTTGTAAGCTCATCAATAAAGAGTATTTCAGCGAAGATGGAATTGTCCCAATGTAACTAGAATAAAACAGCCAACTTGGAACAAGAAGAAGAAGGAGAGGGTATTTTCTTTTAGGTAAGCACGCAGAGAGACTGAACACACTATCAAATGCCTTCTGCTTCGGTTGTAGAGAGGAGAAAAGCATCCTTCGAACTTAAGGTACTTCCTTTGCGAACTTTTCGCACTTTGGAAGAGTACGTTAAAGTCTCCAGGGGTGGCAGCCCTTGGACGTTTTAGCCAAATAGTGGGCGCAAGGCTACATCTGCTCTACTAACTTCACACGTTCGTTTAAGAATTGAAAATAAGAAAAGAACAATTAAAAAGGACAAAAATAAAATGAATATTTATATATATTTAAAGTGAAAAAAGTATTTAGGGCGAATATATAGAAATTAAAATATAAAAAAAGAGAAACAAAGCTGAAAAAGGGGAAAAAAATAAAATTTACTAAACAAGAAAAGAAAAGAACAAGAAAAGCAAATTTCATTTTGATTATTCATAAGTCTTTCAAATTCATTTTGCAAGAGAGGCAAAGAGATTATTTTACTTCGAAGGACAATTGCGAATGAAAGAAAACAAACTTCCGCTGGTTTCTTGCCAATTTTTTTTAATTCATTATGCCACCTACTAACATGTGTATATATGTAAGTGTGTATGTGCCCATATCCAAGTATACATGTATGTGTGTTGAAAGCTCTCTGTAAGGTCACTCGAATGGACATTGTAATTATATTGAAGGAAATGTCAGCACTTATGGCGATGCAACGGAAACGGATATGTGGGATATGTGTACATATATACATAAAAGCATTTTATAACCAGCCAATAAGGCCCTCACATTGACTTTATGCCATAGGTGTATGTGAGTGTATGTGTGTGTGTATGTGTGCACAAAAGTATCCATAAAAAAGAAACATATGTATATGTGGCTCATACAGACACATATGTATGTGAATCGACTCATACATACACTACATTTTGATATCTGATGACCCTAATTTACATATGTTCGTACATATATCGACGTGAAGGCCAAAAAGACAGCAGTCAACAAAGTCTTGCAATCAATATGTGCAGCAAACAAGCACAAACACATACACACATACACCTGTACGACATCTACAAGCCAACGACATGAGTATACTGGGCCAATTGGCACCAGCGGAAGTCGTCCATTAACCGCACCTGTCGCGATAATCATACATAGGCTCGTCGAGTCGTGTTCACATTTCAGCCTTCAACCAGCGGTTTTTGCCTGCGCCATTGCATATTCTATTGTACTTTTTCTCGCTATAAAAAGTTTGCAAGTTTATTTTGAATGTTAATTCTTTTAGGTTTTTGGAAAGTAAACGTCTATTAGAGACTCTCATGTGTGTTAAAATTTGACGGTATGCTCTTGAAGTTTGCAGTGAGATCAAAGCTGGGCGTTGAAAGAGAACTATTGGAAACTCTTCTAATTTCTCCGTACCTTCCTTCTTCTTTCTACCAGGAACGGCAGTCGTGAGTTTCTACAGGAGCCCGAAGACGACCAAGTGCCACCTACCGGTTGCTGTCGTTGTTGCGCGAAATTCTGTCTGCCATGTCGGCGTCTACGTTGCTCCCGTTGTTGTCGGCGCAAGAAGAGCATAGCTGGCGGCAATGAAAGTGAGGAGCCAGTACTCTCGGCGACCAGCAGCACCTCCACTACGAATCTCGAAGTCATCAATGAAGCGCAGCATACAGCGGACGGCGGAGCAAGCAAGCGGAGTTGTTGGCAAAAATTAAATTGCTGTAAGCGGTGTCGCAAGCAGCTAAAAGTAGACGAACCACCGTCGAAAATGACGGTGGCAGCCAAGGCAGAGACTGGACTAGTCGGTGCGCCCAAGCAGGGTAAATGTGGCTTGTGCATGAGTAAATTATTTTGCTGTCGTCGCGTGAATAAAGTCGATCCCACAACGGGTGATGAGACGGAGTTGAAGAAGTGTTGCTTTTGTATACCATGTCGGCGCAAGAGGGCTGGGCATGGCGCTGCTATTGGTTCGACTATCTCGCCGAGTGGCTCGGTGGCTTGGCAGGACCCGGAAAGTGGTATTGCAGCTAGCGATGCATCGGTTCTGGAAAGCACCAATGCAGCTGAAATGCAACGTCCGCAGTACGTACCTTGCGAAACCTACAAAATTTACACAACATTACCAAATCATTTTTTATCCAGGGGTTGCTGCAAACGCTTTTTTGGCAAACTGTTGTGTTGCGGGCGCAAAAAAGCGCCAAAGCCAAGTGAAAGCCGGAGAGCGAGTATGAAAGCGCCACCACCACCAAGTGAGGTGAGATCAACTGAAATTAAACTTTAATTTATTCCAATTTTTTCCGAACTTTTAAACCTACGCAGGACACACGTCGTAAGTTACATGTGGACCTCGTGGAGTATACCTCAAAAATGAAGGGCGCTATACCAGTGTTGCCGCTCTCTTTAGCCTGGTTCTGTGCTATCTGCAACACCGTCTTTCCAGGATTGGGTAGGCACACTTCAAATCTCAAGATTTCTACATACATTCCTTACTCCAATTTTTTCCCCTCTCTCGCTTTCAGGCACTTTATTCTCTGGCATCTTCTGCCTTTGCGTGGGCATACCACGTTTCTCACAATATGACAGCGCCAAGGCTCGTTTCGGTTCATTCATAATCAACATTATCGTCGCCACGGCACAACTGTTTTGTGTTCTCTTCTGTTTCGTGGGCTGGGGTTGGTCCATTTGGTGGGGCACCATTATGCTGAAGTGTGCAAGTAAGAGCCTAGTATTTTTAGAGATGTTCATTTTGCTGCTACACATATTTATCTCTTAACAGGAAAGCTGAGTAAAATAAAGAAGGTGGAACGTTTGGAAATGGAGGAAGAGCGTCGCCAAGCTGAAGCGGCCGCAATAGCAGCTGCAACAGCCGCTCGGGCAGCGCCCAATGCAGGCGTTCCAGCCGCGGCTGCTACGACGATGACAACAGAAAGCGCGGCTTAAAGTGAGGTAGATTTATTCAAGGCGAACTTAATTATAAGAGAGAAGCTTCCATAGAACTTCCAAAATGCTTAAAAGTCTTCGAATATATTAAATCCTTCCAAAATTCAGCTGCGGTTGAATGAAATATACATATATAAAAGGAGTGATTTTCTGTAAAAGATACATTACAGACAGAAGAAAAAAGAAAGTCAACAATAAAGTTTTAAATGGTGATTTGTGCCTTTTGCTCTGAAAACCTCAAAAAGTGCAGCAGGAGTAAGAAGAAGCTAATTTTTCTAACTCATTTAATTAAACAACAGTCAACAAGATTCTTCGATACTCACAGTGAACATAAGCAGTGAACGTAAGCATAAATTTTATAGATAAGTAGAAATCTTCCATATCATATCCAGAGAATTATAGCATTAAGACGAAAAGAAAAAACCGAGAGCAGCGAAAAAACATAAACCAAAACGCACATTAAATAAATAAATAAAAAAGTGTTTGAAAATAATTTAAATACAAAAATTTTATATCAAAACAATTCATTATTTACACAAAAGAAAGAGATTTTAGGTGAAAGTATTTAAGTATTACACAAAAAATATATATGTATAAATTTTATAAAAATTCCATATCAAGTTCATCTTATGAGAACTGACCAATAATGAACTCGTAAAACTAGATAGTTAAATAAGAATTATAGAAAAATGTGAACCAATTTAACAATAAATAGTAGATAATGAAAACATTGCTTAAACATAACAACAGTAATATTGAAATTTATTAGAAAAGTTTTGTAAAAAAAAGTAAAGCTAACTCATAATGTTATAATAAAAAGGATTTAAATATCGTGTAGCAACATATCAAACAAAAAAATATGTAATGTAATGTAAATAACGAAAAAAATAAATTTTAAGTTTATATATTGTTTCCTTAGTATTAAATACAAAAAAATATATATTAATAATTTATTATTAATAAATAAACGAATATAACTTCATTGCATGGTTTTATTTGAAAAAGGCAACAACTTTATATCTTTTCTATATTAAGCGGATGCAAATTGAGTTGTCGTCTTTTAAATGTTTTTTTTTTTTTGTTTTCAGTTTTTGTTTGCATAAATTACTTAAAGAGGACGAAATAATTTTCTAGGAAATATTTGAACTATAATTGAGTTAATGAAACTTCGAAGTACCGCAGATTCTGTTTAATGAAGAATTAAAAAGAACACTTAATTTCATTTCTTTCATATTTATTCATATACATACATATATTTATATATTCATATCATTCATGTATTATATTAATTATTATTTATTAAATATCTGGTCTGATTTAAAATAATACATTTTCTGAACCGATTAATCAATTTTGTAAAGAACAATTCTTTTTTAATATAAAGATCTTAACTTCGTAAGTACATTATTATTAGGTGAACAATTAAAAGATTAAAATGGAAGAAAAACTCTGATAAATTATATCATAATACAACGGAATAGTCACCATTTCTTTATGGCAGCAAACCTAACTACTTAAAAATAATAAATAATAAAATTAAGAATAAAAATAAGGAAAATATAAAATTAACAAGCTAAAGTAGCAAAGATTTCAACAGTACTTCATATAAGTATGTGAACAAAAATAAATGACTTAATTTTTATCTCACTTGTTTTTAATTTTTATTTGAATTTTTGTTTCATATTTAATAATAAATAGACTAAATACAGTTTACAGTTAGCATCACACTATTCAAATTATTAACATAATTTATATCATATTATTTTTATTACATTGCAAAAACTAAATATAACTACAACTTAAATAAAATTATTTTACAATTTCTGAAATACTTATTAGAAATTATATAATATAAACATAATGCAAGCAAAACATTTTTATAAAGCTAATATAAGTTGAAGAAATATACTTTTTCAAAAGTAAGGATGATGAGCATAAAATAGTTGAAGGTTCTTAAGTAAAATTGCAATTTTATTCAGTACAAAAGGAGCGGGTGTGGGGAAATGAGTATCATTAAACTGCTAAACATTAGTTTTGAACAGAAAAATGGCACAAAAAAGCGCTTTTTAAACAAAAGCTGTATAAAAAGTGTTTTAACGGTGTATTTTTTATATTTTTTTGTTCTCAATTACTTGACATAGTATTTTTTATATCTTGCTTATAAGACTAACGGACGTTTTTCAAATTGGTATGTTTTTCGAGTTGCATGTAACAGGTTTATGTGAACCTAAGAATAAAAAATTAATTTGTTTTTCTTTTTGCATTAAAATAGTTTAAGCATTTAAGCGTTTTAACCAATTGTATATGTATTTGTTTATTTCTTCCTTTGCAACTTTTAATTTTGTCTTTATGCAACTCTTTCAAATATTTAGATTCTTCAATCGCCATATTTAATGTTTTTCATTGAATTATTAGACAAAATATTGCAATGAACGAATCCGTTATATGTAAATAATTGTCATCGTTGAAGATGTATGTATTCGTTTACTGTCTAAAAGAAATTGTGCATTGGAGAGCTCACATATTCGGCCATACAAATGATTATTACAATATATAATAGATGACACACTGTTATTTTGATGTTGTAATAGTTTTTTTTTTTGGGGTTCATTAAGTTTCACATCTTTCGAATTAGTTTTATTTTCTGTTGATTTTTTTTTCTTTTTTGGAAAAAGTGTACACATTGCGAAAAGTATTGGAGTTTAAAAAAAATATTTATTTCTTTTAAAAATATACACGCGCTCCTTGGATACACATACTTATACTTATGTACACATATACATATGAATACATAAATTCATAAGCTATTTGGGCCAATGGGTTAAAGCAATTGTTTAAATAACGATCGCCTGCTTTAGAAAATGAATACATCAGTTATAAATATATCTATGTATGTGTACATACATACATATCATACACACAATATTTGAAAAACTGCAGAACACTAACTACCGAATAAATTTATTCAAGTTGTATGCTTTTATGCATAAGTTTCGTTTTATGTCATTGTTTTTGTTTTTCAAGCAGCACCTTCTACTGTATGACACACTTGTCCTTGTCACCACTAATGTCCACTTGCTCCAACTCGCGCGCAATCTCATGATCGTCCTCGATACTGTATAAGGAATAAGTTTTAAAATTTTAAGTCTTTTATAGACTAAAAAAAAAAAACAAAAAAGGAATTCAGCACTTACGCAATTTCCTGACTATGCAAATGCTGCACCAACTCATCTCGCTTATCCACAATGGCAACTAACTCTTCGAGCAACAGTCGCTCCTTTTCGCGTTGTGCTTCCGTCTTGCGCCAATCCTCCACGGACTGTGCGGCTCGCAATTCTTGATTTAAAAGCGTGTATTTACGCTCCAAATCACTCTCCTGCTCACTAACAAAGGGAAAGAGACGAAATAGAAATTTAATTTGAAATTCAAAACTAGAGCTTCTGGAGCTTTTAACTGTTAGGCCTGCACTTACAGTATATTGAGTTGCATTTGGCGGCGCAGCAACGCGTTCTTTTTATTGACGAGCGTAAACCACTGCGAAAGCAATTGCTCCTCCGTCTCGTCGGTTTCTGTGTCAAATCGGAAAACAAATGTCAATATATTCTTTTAAAAAAATAACAACAAAAAGTACAAAACTTAAAGCGTTTGAAATGTTAAAACAGCAGTTATATAATACAACTATAAAGCGGTATGAAATTTATGTATAGAAAATAATTCGGCGGAGAGCGAACATTATCATACCCGGCTGTGTCAGTGCAAGTGATAAAATTTATGTAATTCAAATGCGGACGGTGTTTTAAACCGTTAAATGTCACTAAAGTTGAATTGTTTTCAATTCGATTAATTAAGTATAAAGTTATTACTAAAAGCCATGAAGTGAAAATCCTTCCTTTTTCACTTAACCGCCAGGTGTCATATTTTCTGCCAACTGTACGTGAGCAAGTTGCAGCACAGTTATTAAGCGTTAAGTTAGCTATATTTTGAACATTCGGTTGCTCTATAGTTGAAGCTTAGTGAAATACACAGCTGCGTATGGATATGTTCTAATTAACTAACTACGAAAAAGGAAATATCGAAAAAAATTTACAAAATGGATACAGATTTATGTAATTCACGCCGATTTGATTATATTTTTCACAGAATATTGGATGATTTTGTAAAAATCTGTATCCGTATGGTGAGTTTAGTAGTGTGATGGGTAAGATCATTAAGAAATTAACACAAACATTAACGTTAAGAATTTATGTTTTCAATTTGCCAAGTACGCCCAGCGGTGTGCAGTATTACACTCTCATTTCGATTTCATAGAGCCAATTTGAGTTCTTGAATTATTATGAATTTTTTCCACTCCTCGACTGCACACGAACTGCGCTCTGATTATGTGAACGTCAAACAAAATTTACGAAAATGTTATTATGGTTTTTACAATGCTTTAATCGGTGTTACAGACTGGTCTAAATGGTCTAAAACGGGTATGAGTTGCATGTTAAATACAATGTTAGAGCAGCAGTAGAGCCTCAGCCGTTTCTTCGAGGCGATGAATGCGAGTTTGAGTTTAGCGAAATGTAAGTTTGTTAATAACAGCTGGCACAAACGCAAAGCAGCGCAGCATTTCTACAGCGTACAAGCGCGCGGAGCTAAATGCGAAAGCTAAGCGTCCCGCATGATGAGAAATGCGGTGATTAAGGAGCAAAACGTCAACACAACGATCGCAGCCGCTGTTGACAGCGCAGCAACGTAAATAAGGCACAGCAAAACCGCCAACACGGCGGCTTTATGTGTTTCCTGTAAGCGTGTAAGCGTTGCACTCATGCCTTTTTTGCATTTTTTGTGCGTTTTTTGTTTCTGATATAAATTTTGCAGCTAGTAGTAAAAGTTGAGTTGAATTGAATTTTCAAATTGTAATCGTAATAATTCATAACTGTAACTACAGGCGTAAAGGCAAAAAGTTTTTTGGTTTGTTTACCACCACCTTCAACGCCACCAACGCGACAATGGCACTGGCAGCGACTACGCGAACGCCTTCGGCTACCGGGCGGTTCCTCGGTTCGGCAACGCATGCGCCGGTCGTCCTCTTCGACGTCAACGTCAGATGGCATGGCATGCAAGTGCATCTTTGGCAGCAGATTATCACAGGAGGAATGATTTGAGGAAGCTGTGGTTGTTGTTGTGTTTGTATTGGAGGAGGAAAACATAAAATTGAACGGCGCAAAAGCGTTTGTGAAATTTCGGCTACTTATGAATCTATTGTGGGTTTGTTGTCGTTGCTGATGCTCATGATTACGATGATTATCATTCGCATCGACAATGCACGACTGAGAGCGTGGACGGTGGTGCGGCGGCACGTATTGCTGCTGCTGATGCTGGCAGGCGCTGTGTTCGCGATGTTGACGTCGTCGCTTACGTCGACGTCGACGAACTACAGCGTCATCAACACCAACACCAACAGAAGCGTCCGCCGTCAACGCCGCATGCATAGCGTCTGCGCGTAACGGTGCCTCCTCTTCGCCGCTAGACAGCGAGGAGGGCGTTACGGAGCCCGACGATGTGAACGGCGATGTGTCATCGCCCGAGGCAGGCCATGAAAACTGCCCATCACTATCCATATCGAGCAATTTAATACGTATACTATCACCACCACCAATACTATTGCGTATCAATCTAAGAAAGGGGTTACGCTGTGAACGATTATTACTTGGATTGCCGCTCATGACTGCGCGCAGTTTCTTCTCCAGGCAGCTGGCCTTCTGATCGATGGCTTCCTGCTCGCGTTCGAGCGCCTCCAGTTCCGATTCAATATAGGAGCGTTTGTCGCCCTGTGCAATGAAGAAAAGAGAGAATAAATTGAGTTTGCTATTAAAAATTCATTTACTTTGCTACTCGTTTTCACTTACCTTCTTATCATTCTTTGGTGAAATACGCTCCATTACGGCATTAAATGACTGTAGCGGACTGCTGTTGCCGCTATTGCTTGTGCCATTACTGAAGCGTTCGCTTAATCTATGACTAGGACTCATTTTACTATTACTATTTGTTGTGTGTCCCGGCGCCGAGGATGCGTCCACATCGCGCGGCGGCGTTATCTTCTTCGACGGCGACATTGGCATCTTAGTCGGCGAGCTCGGCACACCATACTCATCGATGCCATTGGGAATGGGCGAAATGGTGCGTTCAGGTGAGAAGTTCATGCGCTTCAGCTTGGTCGGTGTGGTTGGACTGTCGAGACTGCCACCGTTACTGGAGCCGTTAACTGATTTCGTACGCGTCTCGAGTATAAGCCGACGCGCCTGTTCCCGCAAACGCTGCTTACGCTCCTCCTAAGAGATTAGGAGGAAAAAGAGCTGCTGTTAATATATATCAGAATGTGTGTACAGTTTTATTCAATAATTAGGAAAAGCGTTTTAATAACTGTAAAACTGCCTTTTAAAAGCTGCTTGCAATCGGTTGCGATTTTACATACTCTAATGCTGCGTTACTTACGTCGTTCTCGTTACGCTCTGCGCCATTGGAAATTTTCAGCTTTTCAATCATCAACTTGGCCTTTTCGCTCATTTCCTTGTGACGCGACAAGATGCGCTGTTGTATTTGTTTTAGTTTTGTAGTGATTTTTGGTGATCATGTGGGTAGATGAATGTTAAACCGAAAATGATAAGCCAAAAAACAAAAGCCAAAATAAAGCGTATAAAATTAAAAGCTTGCCAAAAACAAAGCATAAGCAGTGAAAGACTCAGACCTTTATAGAATAATCTTTTTGGTATAAATATATTCACGTTTAAAGTTTTTTTGATTTATGCAGACATATTGTTTGACCCTTTTCACGGAATGGTTTTCAACCAAATTTTAACAGTGATTATGAATACTCAGATCGTAAATGGAACTAAGTTCTGATATGAAGAAAAATATAAACAAAATGATCTATCCTCTTGACTCACTTAAGGTCCGAATTTGATGAAATTCAAAACGATAGTGGAGGGATCGTAAAGCTTACGTGTCCACTAGGTGGCGCATACTTCGATATATTTAGAAAACCTCTATTATGGCATTATAGGTTTGTGAGAGCTTGTGAAAATACTTCTAATATGACCACTTTAAAATTCTCTCGCACTAACTAATGTTTTGCACTTAACCCAAAATAAATACAAATCAACAAATTAATAACAACCAACTAAATTAGTTTAAGTCTATGTAAAGAACTCAAAAGAACAATGAACTTTTCAATGTGCAGCCAGTTTACTTTGCTTTCTAAACTGCTCTACTCAATAATAAGGCTTAACCGGCGTTTTACTCACATTCGCTGCACTCGGATCCAGGGCAGTGGGCGAGTGAGGCGCCACCAGCTGTTGCTGTCTGTCCGCTGACATGGAGTTCAATTTGAACGACTCTTCCGTTGGAACAATAATATGCGTCTCGGCATTGTCGTGAGCACCGCCACCGCCAATTCCAACATTCGTATTCTCTTTATCCTCCGCCGGTGGCGTCTGATTACCCACATTACTGCCGTGTTGCGACGCATTGATCGTGTTCTTATCTTTTCCGGGCGAGAGCACTTTACCCAAAATATTTTTCGAACCGGATAGTATTAAGTTCTTTACATCTTTTTTCGCTGTGGGCGATGGCTGCGCTGGCGTTGAATTATTTTTCGTCTCCGCACTGAAGATGTCCTCATCCAGTGAGTTCTGATGCAGCAATTGCGCCTTCAAGTGACTTAAATTGAGTAGATTTTGCGAGAGATTGTCCGACTTGTAATTGCCAATCACATAACTCGACTCGTCCGATGTGGGACCTAGGTGTAGTGTCGTAATTAATTAACAATGAATAATAGAAAGAATTTAGATTGATTGGCAGTTTGTTTTAATGAAGAATAATGTGATGCTCTGTTCACTTACCAATTTGCTCAATATGCAATTGTTTGCCGGTGAAATGCGCACGCAACTGATGGAGATACGTCATCACAGCCAATTTGTCCGGCACGGCGAGCAAACTCATATCACGCGGCTCAATGACACGTGGTATACCCAACGATTCGGCGGCATCGAAGGCGGTGCGACAATTGCCGACCACATCGTGCGCGGAGAGTTTCGTCATGTCACTGGCGGTAATAAGAGATTTCAGATTAGTAGCATCAAACGCAAAGTAGATATACTCATATTTTGCCAACTCACATCAAGTCCGGCTCAAAATGGTGTATGATAGCGCAGAATGCAATGCCGTTGCGCCAACTGGTGGTCAAATTGGTTACCTTCACTGTTGGATAGTCCTTCGTTACCTCCTTGCACCACTCCAGCAAGTCCTGCCCAGGCGTATTCTCCTTCAACACGATTTTCTCCACCGGCTTGGCTGAGCCGTTCAGCTGCAGGCTGTTGTTGCTGTTAAGGCTGTTCAAATGATTGTTGTTGTTGGTGTTGCTATAGCTGATGGCCGTGTTATTGCTTTTGCTGTTATTGCTATTTGGTTGGTTGTCATGTTCGTAGCTCTTCTTCAGGTTGAGCGGCTGCAGTTCGGCGCGTTTTGAGTCATTGCGTGCGGGTTTTGGTGGCGCCAAGTTGCCGCTGCCAGCACTAGTGTGCTTCTTCTTCGAATCTTCAAGCTCAACGGTCTTACTTGATGTATTAGTTGTTGTTGTAGGAATAGTAGTAGACACAGACAGCAAAGAGCTAAGAGTTGTTGACTTGTTGTTACTTGCCTTCGCGAACTTCTCATCTGCGTTGACAACAGGTGCTGCCACCTCTTCCTCCTCACCAAGCACTTTGCTTCCGTCTTTACTCGTCTGCACCGCTGTATCATCACCGCTACTTTTATTGGCTTGGAAAATTAGTGAGCGTCGCGCATCAACATCCTTCGCTTCGCTCATCTTCTTGATTTCGCTCTCCTTGGGTACAGTGGCGGTGCCGTTGGCGGCAGCGATCGGTGTGGATGTTATAATTTTGTTCTTCAGTGCTGTCGGCAGCACGCTGGTGCTTTCTAGTGGATTGGCAGGTGTCAGCACAGGAACTGTTTGCTTCGTTTCGTGAACAGCATCAGCTGAGACTTTTTCCAGCTGCCGCTGTTGTTGTTGATCTTCTTGAGTCTGAGGTTGCGCGGCGCTTGGTGTCTTTAAGAGCTCATCGCTTGTTGTTGTGTCGAAGCCAAATTGTTTTTCTGATTCGAATTCAAAATTCAAACGATTATGTTCGGCCAATGGAGTTGGATCTTCGGACAAGGAAGGAACTACGCATATACAAACATACATACGGGCATAGTATACAAACGGTTAACACATTTGGAGGTTACGTATTATTGTGGGGGTGTTAATGGGCGATTGGTTGTGGTTGTTGTTGGTGTGTTTGGTTGTAGTTGCGAGTACATTAATTCATACAATATGCAACAGCAATAACAACAATAAAGTTAATAATTAAGAGTTAAAACAAATGATTTACATATACATACATACATTTACATTAAAATCGTTATTTTGATTATAAGATATTTTTGAAATAATGAGATGAGTTGATTATTAAATGTCAGTTTTGTGAGTGATTACGTACAAGAAATTAGTGAGACGAGAGATGAAAGAGAAAGAGAAACAGGCGAGAAAAAGTTTACGGTCAATTAATTTTGAAAACATTTACATAAATAAATTCTAAAGAAATTCCCTTTTACTTTTCAGTTGAAAGACCAGTCAAAAAATGTATATCAGAATCTTGGAATTTAAAAATCGCCCTACACAATAAACTTCATAACTGATTTCAAAGGAAGATCGCTTTTAATTTATAAAATTAAGAGAAAAATCTTAAAAAGTCGCTATTATTTCCTTAAAATCTCTTTCGTGGGTCAGAAAATACAAGAAATGCTGTTGAATTTCTAAACTTTAACTCAATGTATGTAAATTTCTTTAAAGACTTTTTTCGAATTCAAAAATTATCTCTGAATGCTTGACTTCTCTAAATCTGCTTCCACAAAATAATCAAACCACAATGGATTCTCGAAATCATCTCTGTACGAATACTACTTGATTTTCATGTGGGTTATATAAACATACATATATGTATATATATACGTATAAATCTGTTACTAGGGTTAGATACTATACTAAATATAAATTCAATTAATCTATAGTCAAAGATGAGTATTATTAGAATTTTGCTAAATATCTACAAAAACCTTAGCAATTTTGAAGTAAAAACCAAAAATTGTTTTATAGTAGTTAAGACACAAAAACATGGAAACCAAAACCAAAATCTAAAACCAAATACAGTAACTACAAAAACTACTATGAAAATTGCATAACGCACCACTCAATGGCGTTGGCAGATCAATACAACCGTTCAAACTGGTCGTCATTTGCTCCAACTGTTGCGTGAAATCATACAAATGATCCGAAATATCACCCGAGCTCTCCAGATCAGGTATATCCTCTAGGTCATCCAGTGGAGCAACATCACAATTATTGTTAACAGACATTAGAGAAACGACGCTTTGCATATCCTCATCGCTGCAATGAAAGAGAGGACAAGGGGGAGATATAGAGAGAATGGAATATTGTTAATAGGTAATTATTAATAATGATTTCCACAGTAGGTACTCACGTCGCCTTGCCCTCGCGCAGAAATACACAGCTAAGGGTCAATTCCAATTCGGCAGCGGTGATCTTGCGCGAAGTCGGCTTCAAGCTTAGCGTAAAACTCTGTTGCGTCGATTCGATACTGGCATATTTGCGCATATTTATACTTGCTGAGGCTAGAACACGTTTCTTGCCAAGTGGGGTTATCTGCAAAGAAAAAAAATTTAAAGGCATATGTTATTAACCAGGATAGATGCTCTTTTTTCTTGTGGAAATTTTCGAAGGCGCTGAAAAAGTGGGTGAAGGGCAGAATATTTTTTCTCAAGAGCTTTGGGCGCGTGCTCGCGTTCCAATGCATAATAAAGGGTATACAAGTATGCGTGCAACGTGATCATATCGTAAATTCACTGAAATTCACACGTAGCTGTCAATATCGATTGCTCAAATACATATGTACATAGTTTGGCTGAGTGTTGCACAGTGGCGCGTGCAAGTGGGACTTGTGAGATTTGATGGCAATTGAATTTTCGTAGGGAAAACAATAGTAATATTGTAGATTAAACTAAATATTTATGAGCTAAGTAGAAAAAATATTATTTAAATAGTTAGAAATAAGTAATACGAAAAATTAAATGAAAGCAAAAAATTTTTAATTCGAAAAAAAAATATATATTAAAAAGCCGTAAAACTGAGCTATTAAGTGAAGCTAAAAATGATTAATTAGTAAACAAATTTAAAAAATAATTGTTTAAGCAAAATTAAATTACATAAAATAAAAATAATATAAATAGCAAAAAATTAAAAATAAATAAGCAAAGTAAAAATCGATAAAAATAGGAAAATAAAATTTGCCTAAACAAAGAAATTAAATTAAAACTATTTATATTAGATTAAAAATAATGAAATTCATTAATGATATCAAACAATAAGCAATTAAGAAAATGCTCCAACCAAGAGTAAATTAAAAACAACAACAAAAAAGAAAAATATATATACAAGAAAAAATTTAAAATAATTGGAAAAATTGAATTAAAAAGTAATGGACCTATCTCATAAATGCAGACAAGGAAATCTATACTATTCTTACAAATCTGTGTACCCAAATGGCCAGAAAAAAATTCAATACTTTTGAAGCATTTTTCTATCACTTCGAGCACACTGTATTCACTCGTCAAACTTTCTTTGAGTCATATTTGGGGCGAAACTAAGTCAGTGTGCGACGTCATCGCCGATAAAATGACAGAAATGCCTTAGCGCGCCTATTTGTCGTCGAACGCCAACACTTGGTGACGCCACAACGCCTTTTGGCAACTTAGTAAAGGCGCTTTATGCATTTTTCCTTCTTTATTTCTTCTTACATTAGTTTTGTTGATATGCACAATATGTAAATAAGGTGTACGTGACTTTCAAGCAGCGGCAATAGAAATAAATTCGTTGAGAACTTTTCATGAATTTGCAATATTCACGCTGAACTACAAAGCTATAAAGAGAAAACACACAATAATACATACGGCGTGCAACAACGAACGAAGCCGATAGGATTTTAAAGAAGTTTAAAACTGTTGATGTGTTCCCACTTCAATAGCAATTCAATGTAATTAAATATTGCCGAAAAACTGTATATTTATGGAGTAAAGTGATATTTTTTATTATAGTTTGATTTAATCCACATTTCATTTATATATTACAAATTTAATATTTTTTTTTATTTATTTATTTGACATTGTACGAATAAGTTGGAGCACAATTGCCATCGATTACTTTCTTTTAATACAATATTATTTTTCTTTCAAGCGCCTGTATGTAAATATACATACATACAGCTAAGTAGTATATAGTACTGCATGTAGCAGTTAGGGGAAATTAACCTTGAAATATTAGAAATACTAAACGGGTGCTTGTACCTATAAAGAAAGCAACAACGTCCGAAATATCCTTTGAACAGAAAAATAAAATAAGAAATAAATGAACGTCAATGTCCAGTACATACATACATACGTAAATAATACAAGCAAACAACAAAAACAGCAATACAAAATTGAGCAATCATTATTTGAACGGTTCTTTGGGACATTGAAAGGACTAAAAGTCTTCGGAGGCCACCGAACAGCGTTTCATCAACAACCAAGCGGCCAAACCTAGTGGGTAACGGTTTTACCTTGTAACGCTGATGAAAGCACAGCCATTTCAATTATTGGTTGTATTTGGTGGTAAAAATAATTGTAATACCACTCGCCGGTGTAGGGGCATAAGGCCAATCAACATGCGATCGAAATGTCGTCCTTGAGCCAAGTCAACACTGAACAAATGAAAACTGAGCAAATAAAACATTTTTAAGTGTAACAAAAGGACAAAAAGTGCTTAGAATGAAGAATTACGCTCTATGTCAATTGTTGCTACTCAAACACATACATATGTATATTTATATGTACTATATACATTCATATGTATTATACAATATGTCCATAGGACCGTGATTGGCATGTGGAAATGCCTCTAGCCGAGCTGAAGGGTAATCAAGCCTTGGAACAATTGATTTTTGTTCTTTTTTACATAGATGTTTATAGATATACATATATGTATATTTATAAAAATCATAAAATATTCATTAAATTCCATTCACTTTAATTAAATGCTAATTTTTTGTGTTTTTTCTGGGGCAAGTCAAGCGCATCCAAGATATTTACATTTGTTTCAGTTTTAAATTTTAATTCCAATTGTAGAAATTGAAAGGAAAAGGTAAAAACTAATGAAAGCAATATAATACAAAATTCAACTAAATCCCAGCCGGCAGCTAAAACATCTGAAAACCTGGAGTATAGAAAATTGGTTTGATATGCCTAAGAACAAAGGAAAAAGACACTAATTTAGTTTGAATTTAACTGAATATTAGTTTATATTTAAATTTATTTCATATTATATTTGCCAAATATTACTCTATATTTTATCACTCAAGAGTGAGTCTCATCCCTAATCGACTTAGCCGCCACAGACCCAGCTTGTTAGGCCAGTAGGGAGTGTACTATGACATAAATTATGTTTTTCCATTAAACTGAGTGCAGACAACAAAGCATTAACAACTCAACTGACCTTTGTGGTGAGTGGATGTGTAATGCGCGCGTAATTTAGTGCAAAATAAGAAGAGCTCTCCTTGACATATTTCGTCGCTATTACAGAGTAGAATTATGAAAAAAACAATAGCCATAGTATGTATATTGAAATGAAATAAAATTAAATTAAATTAAATAAATTAAATTAAATAAAAGATGAATTGCAAAAAAAGATGAAATTAAAATCAAATCAAAATCTTAAAATAATTTCTAGAAAATCCTAATATTTTTAAAGCTTTTGCATTATTGAAATATATATATGAGAATCACGCGATGTGAAGTTTCTATCTGTTCTCAAAATATTTACTCTCGAGCCAGGCGAAAATCAAATGCCTAAGTTTGGAACTAACGGTTGCGGCGCTGAAAGCAGGAGGCATGCCATGTGGCGCCCACTGGCAATTATTATATTCTCTTGCATGTACGCAAAATACTCATTTACGTTTATTGATGCCGATCAGTGATGCTTAATTGATTTCAATTGGCTTGTTTTGAGACAAGAAATACCAAAAAGTAAAAAAAAAAAGTTTTTTTTTTTTTCAAAGAAAAACGTGTATGTGCATATGTGGGTATATCAGGTAAGCGTGAATTATGTTTTGAAAGCTTTTGAGCCTCTTCATATGAGCGCATATATTTTTCAGTTAATACTCACATCTTCAATTACAAATGTCCAGTCCTTATCCTCTAGTTCGTGGGTGCGTGGATCTTTGAAAAGTGTCACCGAGATTGAATGATTATCCGGCACCGGCCATGATATATGACCAACCAACGGATTCACCATATCCGGTTCCCAGCCCAATGGCGCTGAGACCACACGGCGAGAGCGGCGGGTCCAAACAACGGATAAATTTGAAGGACGCCTGAAAGGGAAGATCAAGAGAATATACTTTAAAATTACCTAAAAAAACCAGTATAAAGATATATTTATATATATATATATATATATGTATATGTATGTATATAGTAGCAAAATATATTTTTTTAAATACTTTGAGGGATTGTTATTGCCAACAGCTCATTAGTAAAGTAAAAGCAAAAAGTTTTATTTAAAGACGCTTACGTCGGTGCAGCCGCGGGAGCTGTGTAGAGATGTCAGTTTGTTTGCATTTTTCACTAAAAACTCACGCATTTTCGAAAGTGAATGACGATGATGATGCGCTCGCCCAACAACAACAAAAATAGTTATTTGCCCTACAAGTGGCATGAGGCGCGCAGCAAGCTGGGGAGTCAAGTTGTAGGTAAGAGCAATTTGCATTTCCCGCAAAAGTAAGCAGCCATGATTAAAGTAGACAACTAAGAATAAATCGCTTAGCAACCAATTGCAGCAGCCAACCAGCGTGGCGTAGAAGAGCGGCAATGTGGCTTTGGCGTTTTCCAAGTGGCCCACCAAACGAAAGTAAAATCTCTACTGGCAGCTCAAGGATATTTGCGCACACTCAAGCACTGCACAGATAATGGCAGCTGCAGTGGGGGATTTTTGTGTTGGCAGAGGAGGAGGAGTAAATGAAAAAGTATCGCTACCTTCCGCAGCGGCAGTGCGGCTTTTAAACTGGGCCATCAGCTGTTGGCTGACGCTCTTGCTTTACAGTGTACGCAATCCATCGCAGCTGCACGTAGTTTCGCGATACGTGTAGGTCTTTTATCAGAATTATTTTAATTTTTATTTTCTCTAATTTTCTATTAATATTTTTTTTATTTTATTGTTATATATTTATTTAATTACTGTAGTTGAATTTTCTTTATGTATAACCTTTTTGAAATCCTAGTAATTTTAATTATAAATCCGATTTCAATTTTTTCTTACATTTTTAAGAATTTTTCGTTTTTAAATTTTTTTATTCTTTTTTTCGTATTTTTTCTGTACAAGTTGTTGTCATTCGCGTTTGCTTTTTATTTGTGGTTTTGTTTCCATTCTGTTTGATAGACGTCAATTGCAATTTGTGCGATTGGAAACGAAATATGTTCTGTTAGGAAAAATGGATAAGATGAAAACTCAGCCCAACTACTAAAAAAGAAAAGGCATTTTACCTATGTATATGTACTATGTGACATACATATGTATATATTTGTGCATGTGTACATGAATATTATCTTTTGAATAGTCAAATGTGCTCTGCACATTCAGAATTCTGCATTACAACCAGTGGATTCACCACTTTTCATCTTTTTTTATACAGGGTTATCCATTTTGCTCGAGTCCTGGTCCGACCAATATCCAGAAATTATAAAAAAATAATTTAAATATCAAATAAGTTAGTTTTTTAATTCCGATAGCCCCTCGGCAAGTAATGTCAACTACACCGAGTGTGTTTCTGACACGAAATTGAAGCTCCTCAACCAGTCGTTCGGAGGCGGCTTAGTATGAACTGTAGGTCGCTCCAAGACGCATACCACAAATTGGAGGAGGACCTCGGACAAGGCGAGAGATAACGCGGTCGGTAAATTTTTCCAAATAAGAAACCTTATTGGCTCGTGTTGTGTGGCATGTGGCACCATCGGATGTAACCACATATTGTCCAAGTCGTGTCCTTCAATTCAAGGCCAGAAGTAAGGTACAATCACACCTCCGGAACAATCTTACTTATTATTCAAGCACCAAAGCGACGTATATATGGCGTTATGCATGGTCAGCTTCAGTTGTTGAGTTGTTGTCTGAGCTGGACTTTATATGGATGAAGGTGTAAGTCCAAGTTCTTGAGAACGTCGAAAAATAAACACATTTGGGTCTCCGGCTACACTTTAACTTACAGTAGCGATATTTGAGGTAGAAAAAGCAAAACGACGATGCACTGGCCTTACAAAATCTGTAAGCGATCCACTCTCTTCAAATTTCTATAAAACTTCACCAATTACTTGAGTGGTTGGACGATTATGAGCACCATAGTCGACTCTTAAAACATTAAACTTGACAAGCGATTCCTGACTTTTAACTAAATTAAAACATGTTTGGTTTGCCTTTTAAGTTTGACAAATGCCAAAATACAGTCCGGTACTTTTGAAACCACGCAGTGGATAACCCTATATATATATGCATGTAAGTGCATAGCCTTGGTTTGTCTGTAGGGTGGGCAGGCTTTTATGCGAATTTAATCATACGAGATTATGTATATGTACGTAAGTATGTATATAAGCAAAAAAGATGAAAATATTGAGGCAAAGAATTGTGTATTGAGTTCAAATGACGATCGGGGCTATGCAAACGCTTGCATATAGCAGTACTCTTGATGCTGATTATGATTTTTGTGATGGAGTGGTGTTGTTGACAACAAAATTTTAGTATTTGTACTGGCAAAAGATGGCTATTTGGCATATAAAAATACACTCCAATGGACTTTAAACAAAAACGATAGAATTAATAAAAATTGAATTTATAACTCAAATACACGTTTTCTTTCCTTTTCTTATGCAATTAAACATTTAATTAACATCCTTTAGCTTTCCGCCATAAAGAGTACTAAATGATATTTTAAACGGAAATTCCTTTATTTCCATTTGAATTCAATTAATTAAATTCACGACTTTGCCAGTTTCTATTTACGCGAGTCGAAAAAACAAAACATTGCACGAGTAAACATTTATAATTTTTCCTAAATTAAATTCAAGGATATAAAGGCCATACATACACACACACACCCACAAGCACTTACTAATTTACATGCATATGTATGAGTATTCCTTTCAGACAGCGCGTCAGACAGACAAAACCCGGTCAAATAGACAGGGTCACGACGAACAACGAAACTGTCGCAGACAACAGACAGCCATAGTCAGCCCGACAAGTTTCAGATGGTGCGGCCAAAGAAAAGAGCAAAAACAAAGGAAAAAAAATACAAAAAAAAAAAAAAAAAAAATTAAACAGTAAACAAAATTAAATAAAAATACAGCGAGAAGAACAGCACACCCGCAGAAGCCAGCTCGCCAGCCAAAGTCACTTCAGATTGAAATTGGCTTTAAGCCAAAGGAAAATTCAAGAAAAAAATACGTAGATTTGGGAATACAAATATACGATCTATGTATATGTATGCATTTATCTAGAAACACACATATATGTGTGTATTTTAAATTGGGATGAATAGCTGCATGGGTTGAGGGGGCCTTCCTAAAAATATCAAAGAAAGGAGAAGTTGACATTGAAAGAATTGAACGTAAAAGAAAATCATAACAAAAAAATTCTTCTTTAAAATGAAACATTATTTGAAGAAAATTTTAAAATTAAATTGAAAAAAGGTAAAGGAGAACATGCCGAAGTTATAATACCTTTCATGATCATATAAAGCTTATGGTAATTAATTGAATATTGATTCTTACATCTGAACTAATCGGTTGTATAGGTGCTTAATGATATAGTCCTCCGATTTCGATAGTTTTCAATACCTAATGTGTGCAGAATACCAAATTTTACGCTTAGATCCCGTGCGTAAAAGCATTTTCGCTCGAGGATAAGATTTCGAGGTTAATTATCAATCCGTTCAGTGGCCACGAAGACTGGTAACTTTTTTTCTAAGATTTAGTATGTAGAACCCAGCATTAAGAGTTTACGAGTTATGGCTTATTCTTTTTATTACGCTCAAGCTGTGCGCTGTCTTAAATCAACATCAATGATTCATATTAATTCTGGTTGCCATATTATCCACAAGACGCCATTCAAAAAGAAAAGAAAAAAAAGATGAGGAAGTTCTGAAGAAAATACTTTATTGGTGGCGAGAAAATATGCGCGACTGCATGTACGAGTGAGTACTTACACAGATAGAGTCAACAAGAAATGCCAGGATTATCAGCAATAAGTACTTTGAACCAGCAGATACTGAAAGTAATATGCACTTGCTTTACTCTCGGTATTTTTTCTCTAATAAATTTACTTAAGAGTATGTCCAAGTAAGCTTTATCGTAAACCCAGCTGGCAGCAGTCTTGCGAAGACGTCGACTTGATATTTCAAGTAAATATATAAATGAAGCAGCAAAGAATATTAAAAAATACAAGAACAAATGCAATAACCTATACAATATTAAAGTAAAAATACAAAAGAATGCCAGAATGGTGGAAGGGAAAAAAGTTTGATATACTGCTGCAGTGCAGGGCCAGCCACTGACAACAGCAAGTGAGTGCAGCAATTCTAGAATGTCCTGCGTTTTTTCACGCTTTTTACTCTATTTATTTTTCATTCTTTACTTTCAACTTTTTCTCTTTATGCACTGTTATTAAGATAGCGTCGACTGCGCCCGCATAATCACTGCACTGGCATACTCGTATGCACTAGCTGTTGTTGCAGCTACCGAACTGACATGCCGTTAATCACATATAGCTCCCGGGAGACGGCTGATATGGCGCCTAAAGAAATATATATACTCATATGTATGGGTTTTTGTAAATATGTAGGGAAATAACTTTCGCCTACTGTGCCTGATAAGGTGAATGGAAGTTTAAAAATAAATGAAAAAAATATTTCATTAAGAGAAACTTTTTGTGTACATCTCTTTACTTATCAAAACTCAGCCATTTTCAGATTTTACTCTCTCGTGAGAGCTTACAAAGCTCTGAAAATATAATTAAATCGTGATATATTTTTTAACTTAAAATCCACTCCGATCATCTCTGGAAACACCAGAAAAGAGTTACTAGGACTTCTGCTTAAAAGTTTGAACACTTTCCCCACACGTGTAGGTGTGAAAGATACCCAGAAAAAACGAGAATAGTGCAACTTTTTCCTGCTAAGACTGCTTCCAATGTGAAAGGTTAGGGGTGACTTTTTTCAGAGAACTGTTTCACCATGATGTATTCAAAATGAACACGGAGATTTCATAATGACTCCGGATAATATTGCTGCAATATTGCTCCGGATGAGTAGTAGATGCCGTAAGC